GAGACCCCATAATCCCCCCCCCCCCCAAAAAAAACGACCTATTATTTGTTAAGTTTTCTAAAAAAATAAAAAGAAGAAGAAATACAAAAACTAGTTACGAATTATGTGGCTGATTGATCGCTAAATAGCTTATATGATTTATACGAAGATTTTTTTATATTCAATAATAGAAGTTTTCCATTTCTGAGTTGTAATATTTTAGTATTATTTAAAACGTTGTGTTTTAAAGTCTCCAATAATTCACGATTATAAAAGAAAATATTGTTGAATTACTAGTATTTTTGCCTAACATATGATATCATAACTTTGGACACAAAATTCTATTAGAAGCTTCCAATAAAGCATGTCTCCTACGTAAAATTCATTTCTTCGTTTACTTTTACTTATCAAATATTTTCTTCTTTGATTTCTACTTTTATCTGTTATTTTTGAAAAATCAAAGAAGTACAACTTTTTTTCTTCCTATTAAATCCTCAATTTATTTATATTGAGTTAATGTCTTTAGAAAATATAGTGAATAAATATGTTTGGGATCCTATTAATTAATAGGGGTAAAATGGTAAATTCACTATACTAATCGTTATTTTCTTAATAGATATGTCAAATCTAAATTTGACAAGTAAATTCGGAAGGAAGGATCACACTCAACTTAACCATATGGTATAATGAAGTTTACTAATCTGATTAATCTAGATTCATTCCAAGTGAAAGACATGGTAAGAAAGTTGATGAAGCGTAGTCCAAATCTCTAATTAAGAATAAAGGAACTACAATCAACTCATCACCCTTTGATTGTTTCTGCATTTGTTATGAAAGAATAAATGAAATGTATATCTAAAAATTTATATTTGTCGTAACAAATCGAGTTTCATACTATTTTTTTTCTTCACTCATTGTTCGATATTCGTTTTGGAACGCGCCTGACTTATTCAAATCTATGCCCTAAAAATCTCACCTCGATAGTAAAATCTTTCTTATCAAAGACGACTTTATTCTTATGATTCAAATCTGAGACTTCTGATTAAACAATTTCATACTAAGTCTTGAGAGTATTGTCAAGTCAACTTTTTATTTAAAGTAATTCTTACTTTTCTTAAGTCTTGAGAGTGTTGTCAAGTCAACTTTTTATTTCAAGTAAATGACCTTTTTTTCACAAGTCAATGTATCACAATTCCTTAATTAATACTCATTTGTCCCAATTTATGTGACATTTTTCATTTTTTGGGAGTCAAAAAGTTTAAATTTGACTGAAAATTTGCGCACAGAATCTTCAATTTTTTTTAAATGAAATTTATATATTTGTAAACTACGTAAACAGTATTATAAGTCATATTAATTGACAATTCAAAATATTTAAAAGATATATGAAAAATTTACGATCAAAGATAGACTTATTTGAATCTCGAAATCCGAAAAATGTCACATAAATTGAGACGGAGTAATTAGTTTGGAATTTTAACAGGTCAATAGGTAAGTGGGCCCAATGAAATTGGGCTCTAGATTCAGCAGCTCTTGGGCTTCTCTAATTTAACAGATCATAAAAGTTGCTTGGGCCTAAATTAAGTCTTATCTAATTTTTTTAATTTTTATTTTATATGTATATATCAAAATTGATGCCTAAAATCAAGAGATATATATTAAATTAACTTAAGGTGCTATATTTTCAAAATTATTGTTATATAAAAGTGATAATTATCAGCCATATTTTGTCATATAACGTAAACTTTTATTTTTATAATAATAACTTCGACTCCAATATCCTAACACTTTAAGTTCGTATTTTAATTGAAAATTAATAAACGTATGCAAACATTTGAAAATTAATCATATTTAATGTAAAAAAATAAAATCTAAATAAAACGTTCTTGGTTAAAACTTAAAATATATGGAAAATCATCAGAAGTTCGAAACTCTTACACGCATGTCAAATTCTAACATAAATCATTGTCTAATTAAGTATGTTAATACATCTTTATCACTAATGTATTTCTAATTACGACTAATATTTTTTTTCTTCATATCTAAATCTTTGTTAATAGTTCACTTGTCTTTCTCATTATATGTGATTCTGTTTGACTGAACATAAAATTTAAAATACAATTTTAATTTACAGATAGTAT